GCTGCATCCGCTGCAATTTAATTCTCTTCAGCCGAAATTCTTCTGCTCTGCTCTCCATCTCCATCTCCGGCCAGGTGCCTTTTTCATCTCCTTCTCCATCTCCTTTTTCAGCCTTCTCCATCTCCTTTTTGCTCCTTTTTTCACAAAATTCAATAAAAAAGCAAAAAAAAAAAAATTGGGGGTGGCCGGTCCGGTACCAGAACCGCCGGTCCGGGTACCGGAACCGGTACCGGCCGGTCTGGTCACGGTACCGATACCAAGGGGTGGCGGTACCGGAACCGGAACCGTACCGTGTCCACCCCTAAGTGTGTTTTAGTATCCCTGATGTCAATTAGGTTCTCATTTCAGTCTATGTACTAAACAGTGCTAAACTTATTGACATGTATCTAACTTTGTACTCTCTCTCCTTCCCAATTTAAATCGTCTGTTTTGACTTTTGGGCATATTTAAAAAAAATAAAAAATAGACATTACTTTTTAAGAGAGGTGATGATGAATAAGAAGATAAGATGAAAAAAAGTGACTTATTTTAGGGGTAGTTTAGGTATTTTGTTTTTAAAAATTTACGAAAACAACTAACAAGCAACTTATTTTGAGACGGAGAAAAAGAGCAAACATGCAACTTAAAATGAGACAGAGGGAGTATAATATTAATGCTTTGATTAGCCTCCAGTTGTTGCGACTTCAATTAAGATTTTTTAGTATGTCATCCATAATTTGTTTTATTTCTCAACGCGTTGTGGAACATACCTAATATATGGCGCCTATTGTGTACCCCAAGATTTGTACCCAATTTGTACCCCGCAGTTTTGCACCAACATTTTGTGTTGGTGTAAAACTAAATTTTGTTAAACGCACCAACATTTGTGTCCGTGTGAATTTTTATTAACGCACCAACACTTGTGTCGGTGTAAACCATCGAAATGTTTGTGCAAACCTGTGGTGTACAAATGGGGTATATTTGTTGGTGTAAGTGTAGCATGGTCCTTTCTATAAGCAAAGCGCAGAATCCAAGGAACCACAATGCTATTTGGTTTTTTGACTAATCAAACAATTGGTATTAATATAATGGCCAAAAACCAATATTCTCGAGAATCAACATAACTATTATTTTTATGTTCAAAACCTAATGCATAATTTAAAATAATAATCTTCTAAACATACATACATACATACAACAACAAGCCCACTAAGATATGGGGAGAGTATGTGTAGGTAGAAAATAGCCCCACTCAAAGTGGACAAGTTTCTAAGAGACACCAGCTCAAGCACACTCCAAAGTGAACCAACCAAAAGGCACAAAAAGGCCAACCCCAAGTAAGAACAAAGCAGTAGAAAAGAATAAAGACCAAACAGACTAACTCACCTCAAGTAAATAGTATTCCCGCGATCTGCAAAGCTGATGCTGCTCGATTAGACAAAGCGGATGCCTCTTTTAAGGGACGAAGCAAACAAACCCCATCCCTTAGCGTTTAAGAACTTCAAACCTACTGGCCCAGGGGGGGCAGGGATCTTGATGCACAATATGCCACAGGCACAAATTGACTATCGCGAGGGAATGAACAAGTGTGGAAAATCCTCATCATAGCGTTAGTAAAGAGAGGTGGAGGTCGCATAGGCATTTCCTGCAAGAGCGAAGAAGACTATACAGGTAAGAGGAAACAATTAATGGTGAAATCCGGCCATATCCATTTGTTGAAAAGAATCTTTCAAGGATGTTATCAATTAATTTCCAGTATACAAGTTAATCTCATATGGGAGCAAAACTATACAAAGTGAATAAAGTGTCTTGCTGAAGTCAAAGGAATCATTCCATTGAAAGGGAAGTCATTACAAGTAAGACATGTATCAACTCGAAAAATTCATAGTTAATGCCACACTGAAAAGCATTTTTATTTAGAGAGAGAGAACAAAAGAAAAAAAGTGAAAACAAAACCATTTTTTCAACACACTTAAGTATGGATACTGCAGATCTCACCAAAATATACGGTGTCGCCTGTTTCACTTTCTTCTTCAATTCTGTTCAAGGAAAAATGTGAAACTCGCTGGCATCATCATGTTCTCAAGTATAAACCAATGAGATTGCGCATTATGATCTTTCATACATCAAAGATATTTATCTCATAGGTTTAGGAAGACAATCGGACAAATCTGAAAAAGACGGGGGTGTGGATGCCATTCAATTACCTGACTTCTTTGGCTGTTCGATTGAAAACCTATAAACCACAAAGGAAACGATAATGATGAAGATGAAAAACAAACTTCAATCGTCGAAACGAGAGATAAATTTCCACAGTACACAGCAAAAAATCCATGAAAAAGGCAGATTATGAGCATACTTACAATAAATCTACAAGTTAGATTTTGTTACTTCTAAAAATTTTAAAAATAAGCTAGCTATATGTCACAAACTAAGTGTCAATTTATTCATTTTTTATGCAAAGGAAAAAATGACTTCTTTGGACCTAGTCTAGTGTTCAATATTGACATGTATCATTTAGATGTAAGAAACTTAAAATGTACACCCGCTTTTCCATTAAGAAAGACCACAAATTTTACTTAGAACGGGCATGGGAAGCTAAACGTCACTTTGCCCAAGCGGCTCCAACTAGGAGTGGACACGGTACGGTTCCAGGACAGTTCCGGTTCCGAAACCGCCGGTTCCGGTACCGCCACCCCTTGGTACCGGTACCGGACCGGCCACCCCCAAATTATTATCTTTTTCTTTTGCTTTTTTATTAAATATTTAAAGTGTAAAATTGCAAATGTGCAATTGTTAAAAGAATGAATGAAATAAAAAATCTAAAAATGCAATTTATAAGGGAAAGAATGAAATAAAAAAATTTAAAAAAGTAGTTGTTATTTAAATCTTGTTATTTAAATATGTGTCCCCCACTCCCCCACCTCCCACTAACTTGTTTTACTACTTTTTTTTTGCAGGAATTGTTGACTTGCAGCTTTGGAGTTTTGGACCTTGAATTGCTGCCTTGCTGGAGATGGAGGGACTGGACTGCAGGAGGCTGGACAAAAAAAAAGGTATCGGAACCGGTACTGCCGGTGCCGGTACCGAAAAATGGGTGCCAGAACCGGTACTGTTGGGGCGGTGCAGGTACCGACCAGGCCGGCGGTGACGGTGGTGGGCACTGGCAGTAGGCATCCCCGTCTAATAACATAATACTACGTATAAAATATTACAGTACTATATTAACTAGAGTTGACCAGGTCCTTGACCCTGAGCTGACTGGTTCAAACGGTTAACCCTTGACCTGCTCCCTCGTCCATGTAGAAGTCAGGTCTGGTTTTCAAACATTGTTTTTAGTTTGATCTTAGCTTTTTTAATACTCCGTACAACCAAATCTTTGACACCACAGCTAGCATTCAAAATCCTCTTTTAGAGGCCAAAGTTTGCAAATAAAAAAAGTCATTTNTCATGTTTGAACCATGTGTATGCATGATCTAAAGTTAACAAAGTACTCCTACATAGATATAAGAAAACAACCTTATATCTTCACGCGTGCCCTTAATCTCCAACATGAATCCGGCTGCTCTCATACAATCAGCAAATTCTATTGCGAGATCATGTCGATCAATTGGCTGAATTTAAGGGGAGGGAGGCTCCAAAAGCATCAATATGATGAGATAAAAATCAGTAAAAAAAATACAAGAAAAATAAAATAAAATGCTGAGATGAAATGGTTAGATCATGGCATGAAGAACTCAGTATTCCTCTAGCATGGGGTAACAAAAAAGAGACAAAGTAGCTAAAAAGAATCAAATGTATCATTAGAACATGCCTCTGTTCTTTTTGAAAGACGAAACTTGTCAAGAACACCACCAGCTTGTTCAAAAATGTGGAGCATCAAACCTGCAGAGAGCAACAATTTCTCTCTACGCTTATGTGCCTTGAGAACCTCCTCACAACCGATGTGACAAAACAATTTAATCTCCTCAATAACTGTCCATTGTAACTCTTTCGTAATGCATTCATCTAAGTCGGTGCTTTCATCTAACAGCTTTTCCCAAGCCACCATAAGCAGAAGAGCTAGCTCGAGAAGATTTCCACAGCGTGCCATGGACACACTTGTCATTTGAAGCTCTTCAGTTTTGAAAGCAATCATTCTTATTGCCTTTAGTGGCTTTTTCTGCAATATTGGTACCAAAACTAGAGAACTGTTTTCACATTTTTCATTTCAACTTCAAAAAAAGGAAACAAAATAAACGTATAAAGTGTTCTGAAAGTTCAATAATGTTTAGAACAAATTTGTGGAATTCATTTGAAGACCTGTTTTTATGTTTGTGGCACATGGCTAAAGGAGTAAATTAATATTCATAGCCTATGATACTTACGGGGAAAAATCCCTCTATAATTGTTAAGGCCAACTTCATGTCACATTGGCCCTGTTTATTCAAGGGTGGCATATCTAACCTCTAACTTATTGAAAGAGTCATTTTTCTTCAGTGTCTATTGTGTCCAAAAGTTGCAATGTCTTGTTCAAGTAAAATAACAGAGAAATTTCAAAAGAGTGTAAACAAAAAATGCTCCAATCAAAGAATAGGTAATGTAAGCAGAAATGACAGCTATATGACTGAATTAAATCAGAAGGATAGATAAAGCGTGTACCAGTTCTGGGAGACAGAGTAAAAAGATCAACTTAAAGATGCACTCAGATGGAGACCAATCCAGGACGGCTTTATTGTTGCAGATTGCCGTTTTGAGAGCCATTACTAGTGGGGTGAGTCCAACATCCTAACCCCCATAATAAGGACATAACACATTAGGTCTTGCTACAAGTCAAAGGAATTATTCCATTGAAAGGGAAGTCATTACAAGTAAGACATGTATCAACCCGAAAATTTCATAGTTAATGCCACACTGAAAAGCATTTTTATTTAGAGAGAGAGAACAAAAGAAAAAAAGTGAAAACAAAACCATTTTTTCAACACTGTTATACAAAGGAATGAAAACTGCAGATCTCACCAAAACATGCGGTGTCGCCTGTTTCACTTTCTTCTTCAGTTCTGTTCAAGGAAAAATGTGAAACTCGTCGGCATCATCATGTTCTCAAGTATAAACCAATGAGATTACGCATTATGATCTTTCATACATCAAAAATATTTATCTCATAGGTTTAGGAAGACAATCGGACAAATCTGAAAAAGGGCGGGGTGTGGAAGCCATTGAATTACCTGACTTCTTCGGCTGTTCGATTGAAAACCTATAAACCACAAAGGAAACGATAATGATGAAGATGAAAAACAAACTTCAATTGTTGAAACGAGTGTTAAATTTCCACAGTACACAGCAAAAATTCCATGAAAAAGGCAGATTATGAGCATACTTACAATAAATCTACAAGTTAGATTTTGTGGCTTCTAAAAATTTTAAAAATAAGCTAGCTATATGTCACAAACTAATTGTCAATTTATTCATTTATTATGCAAAGGAAAAAATGAATATTGACAATATTGACATGTTTCACTTAGATGTAAGAAACTTAAAATGTACACTCGGATTTCCATTAAAAAAGACCACAAATTTTACTTAGAACGGGCATGGGAAGCTAAACGTCACTTTGCCTAAGCGGCTCCAACACGGTGAATGGGCATCCCGGTCAAATTCTCCATATGCCTCAACCACCGAATCAAGATACCAAAACCCGTTTCTTCAAGCTTTGGATTAGTGGATGAGAATCAATCTTTTTACTTCCACTCTGACTCGGTCGCCCACCCATTAGTCCTCCCGCCATACTTCCAACTTATCATTGAGTCAAGTGCAATCAATCAACGAAATGTCATCAGCGACTAGCATGCACCAAGGTAACTCCTCTCGATATGCTATGTGAGAGCATCCATCACCGGTGAAAAGATGAAAGAACTAAAAGCATACCCCTATCCCCACCCAAAAATTGACTATCACCCCCACCAGCCTTCAAATCTTTCATCGCCCCGGCATACATGTCCTTCACCACACGGATGTATGCATCTAGAATCCCTCTAGACTCAAGGCATCTCAACAAGGTCTCCCTTGGAACCCTATAATACATTTTCTCTAAGACAATAGATACGATGGAAAGCACCTAAAGGGCCACACATGAAACCAAGCTTATCTGATTCTCAAAAAGACCCCCCACTTTACTCAATCTACTACCTCTCAATGACAAGTTCTTAAACCTGCCTTTATGGTGTGACTAAAAAGTTGGATATCTCATTGCACTTAGTACAACAAATCACAACACTCTTCCGCCAATCATCCGGCACCTTAGTTGCCCTGTAAATAACATTGAAGAAAAAATAAGAGCCACACCAAGTCACCAATCCACTAAGCATGAAAGCCCACCCGGAAGGGAGCGATCGGGTCTAGGGAGCCCAGTCGAGTTTATTGAAATAAAAAATGCAACAAAGTGAGGGGGTGGCCCAAACCCCACAAGCTGACCAAAATAAACCCAAGAGGAAAACTAAACCACAAGCTAGACTAAGCACCTCTTAATAAAACCAGAAATATTCCAAGCATAAAAAACATAAGACAAAACCAAAGAGGGGAACCAAACTAGCAGAAGTATAAGGAAAACAAATCATTTCTTTTTTCTACTAGTCGGTGGTTTGTTGCAATTGGCATGCTTGTCGGCGGAANAATCCTTCGCATCAATAATTCAATATCGTCCTCAAGCTGCTGCTCACACTCATCTTTCCCTTCCTCTGTTCTGTGAAGTTCGACTCCTCCCATTGTCACCAAAGGCATGTCAATGAGGCTGATTGGCTTGGAGCAATCATAAGCCAGATTAAGTCCAAAAAGCTCAAGGATCGATTTTCAACTCTCTTATTTAGCTTAATTTTTGTATGTGTTGAAAATTGAAATCACCTTCAACTCTTTAAGAGATTTACATTATAGATCTTGGAGACTTGCCCTATTAGCCATTTTAGATTCTGACTCTATTTGCATTGCCTTCAATTCCTTAAGAGATAGTCTTGGTTGCTTGTTCTGACCAATTGCTCATCATGCGAATGGTCCCCAAGAACCTATTCCTAACTAATTCCAGTACCCAAGCTTTCAATGCCTCTTAGATTGCCCTAGTACTCCAAGAATAAGCTCTCCTCTCTAGCTTATAAAATCCCGTGAAGCTACACTGCCGTCATTTTCTCACCTTCATTACATCATACAAAACCCTATCATCTCTTTCACGCATCTCACATGCTCTACATCCCTCGCTTCCTCCTCATGCGCCCTAGCTAGTCAGAACAATTTCTTCTCACCTCTGCACTCTCTAAGTTCCTTATACAAGTGTTCAAAGGAAGTCGTGTTTGCGCCCTAGCTAGTCAGAACAATTTCTTCTCACCTCTTTTCTAATCAAGTTCTGTATACAGGCGTTCAAAGGTTATCATGTTTGGCTTTGTAACTTCCAACTTGGATTCTTTACCAAAAATCTTATATTCATCCCTGAACGCCCCTTAACATCTTCATCTCTCCATTTCCAATCATAATGAACTAAAAATGTGAGTGCATGCTTCATACTTTAGATCAAACTCATACCCCTCCTATACTTATTGTAAATCACAAATACTAAGCAACCCCACAACACTAGAGAGAGAGAAAAGCAAAATTAAAAGCAGACCTTAACTCTAAAGAACGAGGGCCCGGTGGGTAATGTGTACTGTGTAGTTTGCCTAACATAATAACATCACTTTTACTCAACGTTTTGAAACCTGGACCGGACCAGCCAGTATGACCGCAAACTGGATGCATTACCGGTCTGAGTTAATGCTAAAATCTTTTTTTCTAAAAACCACCTATACCCGTTATACTCTGCAAACCCAGAGAACTGGGTCAGCCCGGATGGCTAACAGGTTTTTAATAAAAAGTGTTTTCTTACTTTCTTTGCTCAAAATGAAATTGTGCAGCAGGTGGGTTTCAAACCAGCCACACTTGCTTTCTTAGTACCAATTGCTTTCTTATGATGAAATTTGAAAATTATTCCATGCAAAAAAGAAACCCTAAAAAGTTACTGTCATTTATAAACAATAATATAAACAATTTAGAAATTAACATTTAATATGTTAGAATCAGTTCTATTTTTTATCATTTCAATCAACTAAATATAATTCTGATATGTTACGTAGTATAAAAACGTAGCATCTAACATTTACTTTTAAAATCTAAGTATTGCCTTAGTATTTGTTAGACATGAAATGTTAATCCATAGTTGCAATAAAAACAAGTAAAAAAATAGAAAGTGCAAAAGTATATGCACAATAATGACATTGAAAACTAAATGATAAACTGAAAATTACAAATAAAAATACTTTTATTAATTAAAAATATCTAATAACATAATATAAAATATTACTATATTAACTAGAGTTGACCAGGTCCTTGACCCTGAGCTGACTGGTTCAAACGGTTAACCCTTGACCTGCTCCCTCGTCCATGTAGAAGTCAGGTCTGGTTTTCAAACATTGTTTTTAGTTTGATCTTAGCTTTTTTAATACTCCGTACAACCAAATCTTTGACACCACAGCTAGCATTCAAAATCCTCTTTTAGAGGCCAAAGTTTGCAAATAAAAAAAGTCATTTCAGGAGTTATTAAAACAATTAAAAACAATCCAAGCAAGCCCTAATCATGTTTGAACCATGTGTATGCATGATCTAAAGTTAACAAAGTACTCCTACATAGATATAAGAAAACAACCTTATATCTTCACGCGTGCCCTTAATCTCCAACATGAATCCGGCTGCTCTCATACAATCAGCAAATTCTATTGCGAGATCATGTCGATCAATTGGCTGAATTTAAGGGGAGGGAGGCTCCAAAAGCATCAATATGATGAGATAAAAATCAGTAAAAAAATACAAGAAAAATAAAATAAAATGCTGAGATGAAATGG